TAACCATACGATTTCTTAGTAATTAAATAATATTCCTAAATTAATTTAAAACAAAGTCTAACCGTCAAATTAATCAAAAATATTTCAAAAAATTTAATACAACCGAGTGAGTGAGTTTCCCGTTTAACCGAACGCGATGAAAAAGGTTAAGACAGGAACCGGAAAGACGCTAAAAACCAGGCGTCGAGAATAGATGCGCGTCGAGAGTTGATGGGCGTCGAGAGTAGATGCGCATCAAAATATGTATTGCTAGGTTGCTTATTTAACCATACGATTTGCCTATTCATATTTTTCTCGAACCAAGTTGAGACGAAAGACATTCTAATATTATGTTCCATATGATATTATTCTCTGAATTTTCTTGAAATTGAGTGGCAATATTGCTGGGACTAAGATGTTAATACCAAAAAAAAAATATTCAAAAAAATCTCTAATTGAAGCGAAATCTCCATCTAAGTAATCAAAAATATTTCAAAATTTTTTAGAGGATGTTATAGTAAATTAACGAAGTCAGGACGATGATGGCTCCCTTACTATCAAAATGGCGACGACGCTTTCCCGTTGCAATAAAAATTGCTTACCGCTCTATCTGCTCAATCGCCTGGACTCTCCGAAACTGGACACTGGAATAAGTCCAAACCCGTAAACACTTTTTTCACCACTACTGTTAGCTCGCAATTTTATAGTCAAAAGAGCTAAAATCAATTTGTTGAAAATCCGATCCGCCATTTTTGTTCGGCCCGGTCGATGATAACGAACTCGGAATTGGCACGCGATCGATTTAGACCTGCTATGTTCCAAAAACTGCCCTCAGTTCCATTGAAGCTCACGAAACTAGGGCACTTTTGGTCAATAAAAAGTTTTTAAAAACTGGACAGCGCAGAATCGCCCACCGTTAAAGTTCGAAAGTCGCGTCGCCTCCTTGGGCTACCCGGACAGATTGGTTTATGAGACAAGAAGCAGAAAGGACGCCCATAAATAGGCATCGCGACGCATACGCGTAGGAATATGTTTATGTATCTGGACCATATCCTTTTGCCTAATAACCTTGCTTTGCCCTTCAAGAATGTTCTAGAATATTATTAAAAAGTAGTGCCAACAAATAACTAGAAATTAATGTTATTTTATGAATATTTGGGTTGTGTTTGAAGCTGATCAATGAGAATATCATTACGAAAGAGGATAAGCATTGGATAGGAGTGGCAAAAAATACAGTTTTGGATGATTTATAAAATAGTTAATTAATACTGAATGACTAATAATATATTAGAAAATAGGATAGTGAAAATCACTTTAGGTGCCTGGGACTTTTTAATATACCAATTTTTTTTTGAGAGAATTAATCCAGCAAAAATACGAATATATTGTGTGTATTAGAGTTGTTAACTTGGTATAAATATACAGGGTGTCCCGTAAGCACTTGATCAAAAGGGTACTGCGATATTCTTTGGATCAAAAGAAGACGATCTGACCTGTTTTATTAACAAAAAATGTTTGGCTCCTCTGCTATTGATGGTCGAAGTTCCTCAAAAAATTTATCCATTTTTAAATATCGGGAGAACGGTACTATGTATTTTGGTGAAATTTGCTGTGAATTTGTTCTTATGTAAGACTCATATTTTGATAAAAGAATCGAGTTCAGCCGTTTTGGAGAAGTGGTGAATTTTTGAGTGTCGTGGTAGAAAAACTACCAGAACTTTTTGGCGGATGGAATCGACTCATTTTTTTTTGGTTGATGCACTAATCATTTGTTCACAATTTCGTGCTCTTTGTAAAATCTTGTAGCATTCATAGCTTTTACGCAAAAAAATATGGTTTTCTTGCCACTGAACAATGTTACACATTAACTGCCACGAACGATTAAAAAAGATCTAAAGACATAACGCCCTTTGAATATCAAAAATAGCCTTAATAAACACCCGAGTAAAAGAACAAACCGCAATTTATAGAAAGATAAAGGATCTTAATAATTTTTAAGTTTTAGGGGCACTTTAATGTGCTAAGTACGTCTTTTTGGTTTGATTTTGTTTGCACAACAATGAACTTTTGTTGCAGTTCGATTTCACATCGCACACCTATTCGAAATCCAAGGAAAGGTGAAAATAGCCAAAGAGAAATACGAGACTCTGTTGAAAGACAAGACAGTAACTGCTTCTTTGAAGTCAGAAATTTTTCGTCAACTTGGTTGGCTTTATCACAGTCATGAATCCCTCGGTGATAAAAATCAACGAATCCCATTAGCGATCAACTGCCTGCAAAGGGCAAATGATGCAGATCAATACTCGAATGGTCAAACCCTCTATCTCCTTGGTCGCTGCTATGCATGTGTAGGGAAGGTCCACGATGCCTTTATTGCCTACAGAAATTCAGTAGAAAAGTCTGAAGGTAATGCTGACACTTGGTGCAGCATAGGTGTTTTATATCAGCAACAGAATCAGCCTATGGACGCTTTACAAGCCTACATTTGTGCAGTACAGCTTGATAAATGCCATTCGGCAGCTTGGGCGAATTTAGGTAAGTTTTAGCCCCATTTGATCCTCAGGTAATAGATAATTTCAGAAAGATTCCCCAAATAACCAAAGAGATGCCTGAAAAATCACCAGGATTTTGAAAACAGAAAACTCAATAAAATATAAAGTCTTGCATGAGCTCTCGTTACGAAGTCCAGTAAAACTATGAGATAATTTTATTTGCCATTTACTAAAGCCCTTGAATGGAAATGTGGGAGAACTAAAATACCTTTGAAGATTTGCGTCTGTTTTATGCCAACTTTGAGAAAATTCGCAGAAAGTCAAATTGTAAATTATGTATTTGTTTAACTTTCGGAAAAATGTAAATGTTTGCTTTTTTTTATAACGGAATTCTGATCGATGTGACACGAACACCTGGTTTTTAAACTGCTTTAAGAAAAGGCCACAAAAATTTTCAAAATTGAACGTGGAATGAAGCAAATTACTAATCAATTAAAGGCACTAACTTTTTTTAAGGAATTATAAAGAAATTGTGTATTTTTGTCCAGGACAACCAACTTTTCTGGCTGTGTATAAAGATTTAAGTCAGCACTACACCACCATCCTTACCTACATCCGAAGGAACTATCAAGTCTAATATAAAATATACGTAAAAACCCTAACTAAAATCTAAAAGTAGCTAGGAGGAGACCAATTTAGGAGCGTTCTGAGAATTTTGTTTTTATATCAATCTGGTTTCAAAAGTTGTGAAGCATTTAAATGAAACCCCGCATTTTTCAATGTCTCTTCTGAAAACTGTACCAAAAACACCAATCGCCATTTTATCCAAAATTATTCCTTCAGAACTTTTCCCGAAACAGACGCAAATCCTTTCATTGTCCTTTTGAGACAACAGGAACTTTGCCCACAGGGTGTGGCGACTTTGTAGTCTAGCATCAACTAACGGAATATCAGAAGTAATTTTTGGTTGATTGTTTAAGGGATTTTATATGAAAATTCTCTGCAAGCCAGAGACGCATATGCCTGTTACTCGAATTCACAAGCTGGTTTGAACAGCAAAGGAATCGCTGAGGAGCCCTTGAGCACCAAATCAGCAAAACTGAATTCCACAAGCGTGGGTATGAACCCACACTTAACCCAAAGGATAAATTTTCTTCAAACGCATCTAGCCAACGCTCCAATGCCTAGTGTAACGTCACAGTAAGTACATTTGGCTCAAACCTTTAGAATTAAATATTTATTTATTGTTATAGCTATGGGTGCCATTTTTGCCCAGTGTGAATACTGCAATTTTGATTTACGATTTTCTTCATTATTGTTACCCAAACTTATCTACTAAGTTGTCACTGTTATTTGTTGCTAAATAAACTATAAAATTTGTTAAAAAATGCTGAATTTACCTTGTACAAAGCACTCTTGAAAAACACTTTCTAAGGTTGCGCACACGAATTTCAGCCACTGTTAACTTAGAGCACCGACCATGCGCATCTCACCGTATGCATGACCAATCGCTGTAGAGCAAAAAAATGCCTAAGTGATAAAGCAAACGCTCAGCTGGTTCTGGTAAGCCAGTTTGGATGTATGTTGAAAATTATGCACATTTCATTGCGAGAAGTTATCGGATTTGATTGCCGGAATAAACATTCACATTATTATCAACAATTTATTGAGGTATAGACTTACAATTCAAAACATTGAAGTTCAATTGAAGCAAAAACGTAAAATTCTTTAATACATTATTTTTTTTACAAAAAGTTTCATGCGAAAACAGACGCGTTTTGCTTAATTACACTATCTAATTGCTTTACAACATGGGACGGAAAACGCTAAGCCAAGCTCATTTTCCCTTACGACTTATAGCAGCGCTTCAGGAATGCATTGCACATCATTATTTTACATTCATATAAATAACCACTATCAAGTTATTGGATTTTTCAGATCTTAATAGCCGATAAATAAACTGCATGGAAGTTATATTGAACCGACGGAATGAATGACATGGTAAAGTTATTAGTTCGTATTAATCGAAGTTGATTTTTAAATAATTCCATTTTAATAGCTAAAATATGTAGTACCAGCTATATATTTTCAGAGAAAACGCCAGCAATTAAATTTTTCTGACAAATATTATGATATTTTCATTGAACAATTTTGCGCTCTAAGTTGCGCGCGATGTACAAATACAAGTCAACAGCAAACCAATGTTAAATTAAATATTACGCTAGTCAAATAAGTTTATTTTGCCACAGTTTTTTGGTTCGTAAATTCGGAAAAACGTAATTAATCTAAAGAGTTACGCGTTCGCGGCCCATGCTTAAAACTAGGGAGTTTTTCGCGCTTTTATGCCGTCGTGGCAAATAATTTCTTCCGGACTTTTCCCAAGCCCGAGAATCTTCAGAAGTGGTTGGTGCCTCAAGCAAAATTCACCAGTTTTGATGTAAGTTTCGTATTTACGTCATAGCTTAGTTTTTCGTTATTGCTATTATATTAATGAAATTGTCAAGAGGTGAAAAATGTTTTGACAAAACAACACATTTTCAGTTTCAATGTATTTATTTTCCACTAAAAACCAGTTGGAAAAATAACCACTAGAGACAGTTCAACAAAATATTTTCCGAAAATTTTGATGTTCCTACGTTTCGTGAAGTTTACAGCTGGGAAATTTTCAACACTATTTTGTCTTCCCAATCATATTATACCAAAGTAGTACAATTTTACGTTGTTATGCTTATATACTGATAGATACTGAGAAAGACGTGAGGCAAAACCGTTTATTTGTGAATAAAAATATACTTGGGCGCATAAAGTAAATTGTTAAGATATAGTGCGAAATATTGCACTTGTACAAATTGCATTAAAATGGTTAAGTCGGGTTACTTCTGCATAAGCTTAAAGGCTATAGAGAAAATGGTATTTCAAAAAGCACCACAGAAGCTGTTAATGTAAAAACTGTCTGAGTGGAAATTACTTACCAACAACTTACAAGTGCGACGGTTTCGACATCTAGTACTTACTTAAAACCTAAAAAGTAAGTTGGTAAAAAAGGTAAAACGAAAAGAAACGAGAACTAAAGCAGGTTTCTTAGCTCGAAATTACATCCCTAAGCGACGAGATTATAGAGTTGATTTTAACGCGTTTTAAAATATCGCGCTGCTCAGCGGCGGCAAAATTCAACTTCATTAATATTCAATAAACATATACAATTCATAAACAAACGCTATTTTCAATAATTATTTATTTGCTTATTATTTATTAATTAAGAATTGCTTAGACTGATATATCAACCACAACCCCGCTTTGCTAATGCAAGTGCAGACCCATCTATTTTCATCAATCCATATATCATCATCTTCAAAATCGATTTCCTACTACGAAATACAAAAAGTCCTATATACCGTTCGAATGGTATGCTGGAATTTTTATAATAAAATTCGTGCCATATTTACTTAAAAGTAGTAGTTAGTAGTTCCAAGCTTCGTCTGCCGAACACCATGTAAGTGGAAGCTTAATTTATTTCCAGATTAACAATGCAAATCTAGTTATTTCAATTTAAACTGACTGGGTACCTAAATTATATGAATCGTTAAACACATCAACAAAAACAAAATATGCATCACTCTTCCATACAAGCATGCGAGGTTTCAATATCAGAAAACTTCGATGTAAGTAGTAAAAATAATTTTAAGAGATAACTGGAATACTTTTTGTATGGTGACTTATCTGGTGATAACAGCAATTAACTATCGCATTTGTTTACTTTTGATTGTTTCATTTGTTACAAACCATGCTTATGTTGTAGTGCGTAAACGAAAATCAAAACGGTGTATCCCAATAATGCGAACCATTTATCTCAACATTGAGGCATTATAATGGCAGTGTTTCCAAGATAGCTATAGCAATAAGTAGTAATAAACCCACTTTTTTCATCTATTCCCATTAAGGATTATCAGTGAGTACTTAAAATAAATTAATTACAGAAGAAGGCAATTGCTTTCTATTGAAGAAGCTTGGAATCTCCCAATATCAGCTGAGATGTCGTCGCGACAGCAACAACAGCAACCCCAGCAAGGAGGTAGAAGTTCGGGGCAGCCCTTTCAGAAAGGTTACGGTCAGAATGGGGCGCCTCAAGGACCTCCGCCTCCGTATCCTGCCCCTAGTCCCAATACAGGAAAACGATTTAAAATAGAACAAGATCAAAAGAACTCATCAAATTCTAATCAACCAAACTTTATGCTAACGCAACAGCAAATAAACCTGTTGACTCACCTGCAAGCGAATGCAGCTACATTAACGCAACCCCAGCAGAACCTCATGAGGCAATTGCAACAGCAACATAATTTGATGCAACAGCATTTGAGGAGTCAGGCCAATCAAGGCCAAACTAGGCCATTAGTACCTCCAGTCAATGCTGGACCAAGAGGACCTGCTTCCCCGTTTGGAAACGCCATGCAATTGGGCGCTTCTTTAAACACCAAAAATTTTGCCTCCAGCACCAACCTGAACGTGACATCGCAATTTCTTCAAGGACAGCAACACGATCTGGATGTGGAAGCTGAATTAAAAGATTTGCTATCGCAAAAAGACCTCGCCACAACCCTGGCAGAAAACCTACTGAAACATTTTGGATCTGATGAAATGGAAGAGGTCAAGGAGGAGCCTGATTCTACAACAGCAACTGCTTCAGGGACTTCTTCAATTGCTATAGGTAAAGAATCAAAACAGAAAAAACTCGCAATGTGGCACAATATGGGTATTTGTTTGGTAGATCCAGCTATTCAGGTCAAACCAAGCACCCTATCTTCTGGTCCGTTTTCACCTTCTAATATGGAAATGAAATTGGAATCACCGGATCACAAGAAACGGAGGAATAAGTCCCCAACTCAAGACAGTGTTCTAATCGTTAAGTCGGAGCCTCCTTGGGACTTTGAGGCGTCGGCTGAAAAGAAGTTACATATTGAGTATAGTATTGATATGACTGCAGAGACTATAATTCAGCTATGCAAGTAAGTGATTTTCTAAAATTAGCTGCACAACTTTGTCTTAACATTAGACAACAACAACATAACATCTGACATTTTTGTCTTAAATTGTTTAGCAATCGGTTTAAACTCAGGTTTTTTCAAAGTTGAAAATTCAATAACGAAATTGGTTTAAAAAACTGCTCGGAAAATAAGTCCTTATCAGAATAGTTATAGTGAAAAACTAATTATATTCGAAAATCGTCTTGCTTTACAGTATTTTTTCACAATTCGCGATATTTCCCATTCGAATCGGTTCTAATATTTTTCACCGGGTTTGAACGAGAATTCTTTTAGGGCTTAGTTTTAAAGAATTACGCCGATTCTACTTTTTTGTTTTTTTGGCAAAAAAATCTTTGCAACACCCATGCACAGTTTCAAATTATCTAACATTTAGCAAAACCGCATCGCAATATCTCCGTCCGTTCGCGATTTAAAGAAGGAAATGTTAAATGTTCAATACCGCAATCGGATCAAGTTACCACGGTCCTAAACTTGGATAAAGCGGGAAAAAAAGCAGGACTAAAGAAATAATTTCCAGTCATTTGTTTCCTTCACTTTACTTATGTTAATATAATTATCGCTAATATAAACAATAAAGCAACTCGAGTAACTAGAAAACTCCTAAGGTGCATTAAATAATTATTTATTTTCAGAAACGAGGTAGTCAATGGAGAGATAAACAGTTCCATTATTTCTGACACGGCGCCTCCTCCTTCACCTCCAGAGCCCCCTTCTGTTAGACTCACTCATCAGCAACTCACACCGCCTACACCTTCGGTTTACTTAGATAATAAAAAGCACGCATTTAGCCCTCAACTGCAGGAGTTCTGCCTAAAACACCCAATAGCAGTTATTCGAGGTCTGGCGTCTGCTTTAAAGCTGGATTTGGGCTTGTTTTCGACGAAAACGTTAGTGGAAGCTAATCCCGATCATAGCGTGGAAGTGAGGACGCAGATCCAACAACCTTCCGATGAAAATTGGGATCCACAAACTGGTAAAAAAGTTTGGGCTTGCATTTCTCATCGTTCGCATACCACTATTGCGAGGTATGCTCAGTATCAAGCGTCGAGCTTCAAGGAGAGTTTAAAGGTTTGTTTTTGTGAAGCCGCGTACTGAATTATGATAAGTTCTATATTGTTGAGGCGGATTCATTTTTTACAAACTTCTTTTTGGGTATTTCGTCTCAAAAATTTTTGTCTTTAAAAAAGACAGAATTTCCTATTTCCTTAATTAATAATTTTGGTGTAAATTTAATTTGGGTGTATGTTTTTTTGGTCTACTTCAGATTTTAGCATAGGTAACCATGTATCACTTAAATTAAATGAACATGAAGCAACACAATTATTTTGATTTAGTAAAATTAATGCGCTTTCATTAATTTTACGTTTTTTTGTGGATTGTTCTTTTGTTAAAATTGTGGAATTATTCCATTGAATTTTATGGCAATTATCAAATGCATGTTGACAAAT